AACAGTGAGGTGTGAAAACAATCAAAGACAATAATACAAGCATTTAATAGATGTTGAGAACAGGGAGGAGTGAAAACAATCAAAGACAATAATACAAGCATTTAATAGATGTTGAGAACAGTGAGGTGTGAAAACTATCAAAGACAATACAATAATATAAGCATATAATAGATGTTGAGAACAGGGAGGAGTGAAAACTATCAAAGACAATACAATAATATAAGCATATAATAGATGTTGAGAACAGGGAGGAGTGAAAACAATCAAAGACAATACAATAATATAAGCATATAATAGATGTTGAGAACAGTGAGGTGTGAAAACAATCAAAGACAATAATACAAGCATTTAATAGATGTTGAGAACAGTGAGGTGTGAAAACAATCAAAGACAATACAATAATATAAGCATATAATAGATGTTGAGAACAGGAAGGTGTGAAAACAATCACAGAAAATAATTCAAGCATTTAATAGATGTTGAGAACAGGGAGTAGTGAAAACTATCAAAGACAATAATACAAGCATTTAATAGATGTTGAAAACAGGGAGGAGTGAAAACAATCAAAGACAATAAATAATTCAAGCATTTAATAGATGTTGAGAACAGGAAGTAGTGAAAACTATCAAAGACAATAATACAAGCATTTAATAGATGTTGAGAACAGGGAGGTGTGAAAACTATCAAAGACAATAATACAAGCATTTAATAGATGTTGAGAACAGGGAGGTGTGAAAACTATCAAAGACAATAATACAAGCATTTAATAGATGTTGAGAACAGGGAGGAGTGAAAACTATCAAAGACAATAATACAAGCATTTAATAGATGTTGAGAACAGGGAGGTGTGAAAATATCACAGAAAATAATACAAGCATTTAATAGATGTTGAGAACAGAAAGGTGTGAAAACTATCAAAGACAAGAATACCATGGAATGATAGAAAAACATTTACTTACATTAGAGGTTTGGTGTTTGAGAATTGATAGAGAATACCAAGGAATGATAGAAAAACAAAGCAGGCAGTTCTCCTTAGACACATAAAAGTTGTAAACTGATTAGAAAAATGAGACGTAGACAGACAATGTTTATCTGACATGTTAAATCTTTCAGGCCCATAAATTTTGACAGACTTGGTCCACATTAATTTCCCTTTACAAAAATGGCAGAGGGGTAGGTGTGCAAGAAAGGCTATAGAGAATGTAATATACTTCTAATCCCTATAAAAGAATATATTTTTTCAAAGAGAAATGAATGTACATTTTGAATCTGAAGATAAGTGTTTGTTTAATTTTGTTATAGTTAGTAGGAAAGAAGAATTCAGCAGGTGTAAATTTCACAAGGACAACTTTTCACAAACAAATTCTTCACTTACCATGGTTTTGCAGCCACAAGGGTAGTGAATATCCAAATATGAGAACAACACTTTAAAGTTTGTTCAATTTCCTAACAAATTCTAAAGTTTTGATAAGATCCTGAGTCAGTTTAGCACTCAGAGGGTGTAAGTTCTCACAGAGTGCTTAAAAAATATTTCAGCGAAAAAAATGGCTGAAAAGTGAAACATTACTACACACACAATATTTACTATGTACAAATATATACAGACTGTAGCTGCAATGGTTTTAATGTAGCTTAGCCACAGTATGGTACTGTTTGAAACAGTTCTTTGGATAAAATAAACAGAGGGGGGAACCATTTGAAGCCGTTAAATATTATGAATTAATCAAATAATAGAAAGTATTGTGAACGGCACTCATAGAAAGTTCTTTGGATGCAAATGTGGGTGACTATCACATCCTTCGCAGATGAAGTTGGTCCTCTTAGTTTTAGCAGGTGTAATACACACTGCACATCGGCGGTCCTGCTTTACATAACCAACCAAATGCATGCCTGGTTAAAGACGCTGGAGTGGGGTGCTTGATATGTGACCTCGTCTCCTGGGAACTATGGTTCCTGGTTCTGGCATTGACTCAGCAGCTGCAATAAGTAGCTCATCAATCAGCTTGAGCTTAAAGTCTTTCAGTGGAATTTTTGTTGTTCCTGGCCTCGTTTCCTTATACAGAACATATGCATTGATACAACCAATTTCCATGATCAACTGAAAGAGCTTTTTCCACCACTTCTTGGTTTTACGGGTGTGCAGGCCTTAGTACCCGAGACGTTGGTCAGCTACATCACAACCGTTCATCTTGTTGTTGTATGTGTCGATGACACTAGGCTTGAGCTTTCCTTTTGCATTTGTTACTTCTCCAGCAGATGCATTGGTGGAAACAAGCAACACAAGTTTTTTTAGCCTTCTTATCTTTCCAGCTGACTGCCAGCATCGACCTTGTGGAATTAGAAAAATACTCTGATGCCATATGCTGCAGTTTATCATTTCACTACGGAAACCCTATGCGGCCACGCTGTACTGTTCCGGTGTAATACTGCTTCTGTTTCAGAAGATGGTCAACGAGCACTCTTGTTGTGTAGTACCGGTCTGCAAAGATATGATATCTAGTTCCTAGAGGCCTTAGCAATGTGTCGAAGACCTGTGTGGAATGGCTGCTTTCATTTTCATTCGTTGGATTGTACGATGTGGTGCTTCCGTAATATGTCAGCAGATTGACAACATAACCGGTTTTACTCTCTACCAAGCCAAAGCTCTTGATGTGATACTTGGAAGGCTTGGTGGCATTGTATTGCTTATACTGCCATCTTCCTTTGAAACCAACAATCATTTCATCAATGGCAATATCTTGGTAGGCAGTGAAAGCCAGTTGAAAATTTTCAAGGAGTTTGTTGATGAAGAGCTCACTGCATCAGGCTCTCCCACATGAAGCATTGTTTGGAAAATGCTAAGAAAACTGTTCCGACTGAAGGTCTGTGAGTAAACACTGGTGATAAAAACATTTCGTGTGGAGAAATAATCCCGTATGCTAGGCCTCTTGAAGATTCCCATTGCCATCTGCACCGCACTGAATTTATACAATTCATAAATTCCAAGATTATTCCAGCTGACAAAGACAGAATATTTGCGAGGACGATTGTTCTGTGTTTTCTTCAATGTGGCATAGGTATTTGTTGCATCCAGCAGAGAAGTCTGTACTTCATCATCAAACAGTACCAGAAAGCAATCAAGAGGAGTTGAACTTTCAGACACCAGTTCAGGGTTTACCCCTGGAGTTGTTTTAGGACTAAAACGAAAAGTATTCAAAGTCCTGGAAGAAGCTCCATCCTCGACTCTTTCCCATCCTTCACCAGAATAGGTCTTTCTATTTGTTTGGAGCACTTTCCTTCTCTTACATCCTAATTACTGTACCAGTGGAACATTCTCTGTATCAGATTCATCACAACTACTGGATTCTATAACAGCTGATTGCTCAGCTGCGGCTGGTAAAAATTCACTGTCCGAATCACTTTCAGAAAATCTAAATTTTAATTTTAATTATCAGAATTAAAAACATCTGACTGAAACAATTTCAGAGCTTCGGCCGCAGAAAGACGCATTCTGCGACCTGTACTTGTGGTTGGAACATTGGTATCCATGGTACTCAAAAACGAACTTAGAAAATGAACTGTAGAAAAAAAAATGTTGCTGTTTTTTCCTCAGATTATTCACGTGTGGTTTAGTCCAGGAAATGAAACTAAAAGGATTTTGACAGAGTGACTTTCCCTGAATAGTTTAATTGTACCTCCAAACATTAGAAACTAATCAGGGGGTGTGTGCAAAGCAAAATGTAGTGGAAACACGATTGACAATGACACTGTTGTTTGGGCAGAACGGAACTTCCCAAACTACGCTCACACCGTTGTTTGGGCCTTAAAGAGTTAAGAGAAAGAATTGATACCAGAACTAGATAGTAACTAGCAAGACTGATGGAAAGAAAGAATGGGGAAGGCAAAGATAAATATCCAGACTTTTTAGTTAAACTGGTGGGCAACACAAGAGCACTGACCTCATCAGTGATTGTGGAAGATGCGAAACATAGCAATCTTTGGTTATCATGGCAGATGATAAATCAAGGAAAAGCCAAAAAGTAATGCCTCCTATTTCTTTTCTTTTTTTAAATCTATGTAAATACAAGATTGGTTTGCAATGTGTAAATTTAACTGGATTCTTCCAACACTCTTCTGCCCTGTATAGTATTACCAAGCTGTTTCAGCAGCACATGGCACCACTGTAATGATTTCAAGATGGCTTCCAAAGATGTTCGGTCAAAACAATCTAGGGTCATATAATTCCTCAATGCTGAAGGCGAGACCCCAATTTGCATCCGGGAATGTTTGAAGAATGTTTGTGAAGAATTTAATAGTGGATGTTAGCCAGGGTACATCATTGCGACGCAAGGTCAAGTAGGTCAACATCCAATAATTGCAGAATTTGGCTGGATATTATTACCACATCCCCCCCTTACAGTTCCGATCTAACACCTTCAGCCCTCCATTTGGACCGCTGAGAGAAGCTCTATGCGGACACCACTTTGAAGACACCCAGACCCACAAACGCCCCATGCTTAAGGACAAAAAGACATCAGTTTTTACCATGCCAGGATACATGCCCTTGTGAAAAGATGAACAAAGACTGTAATAAATAACAAAGACTACATTCAGAAAACAATTTTAAAGTTCAGATCTAAGGCTACATCTCAGGGTGAATTTAATCTGGCTATCTTGCCTACTGAAAGCAATTACAAATCACAAGCATTACCTATTGACTGTTCTTTGTATAACAATGATGATAATTGTTAGTGTGCACAGTAACCTTACAAAAGAAAGTGCATCCTGGCTTATTCATCATGGCATCTGCCAGCAAAGCACAGATTTGAATTTCTGCGTATCATGAACTATTATAATATTCTTGTATTATTCTAAGTAAATCTTGTAGAGAAGGACACAGCTATAAATAAAAATGTCAACAAAAGTCAGTACTGTGCTCATTTCCATCATCATATAACCCAGGCTGTCTGATTTAAAAAAAAAAAGTAAATTAAATAACAGCATATCTAAAAACACATTACCTTTTCAACATAATATGGGATTTTATCCAAACTGCTGGGCCGGGCAGAAAACTTGCTGTACCTTCTAGCTGCTTCCACCTGCAAGAGAGACAATGTTTATCTACAGATTTGGATTAGCAGATGAGCTACTGTATGTGACTTTCAACTGATAACGTTTCCATCAACCAAAACTAAACTGATGAATGACCAGTGATCTTTAAACTGCAATCTTCTTCTTTTTTTTCCTCGATCCTTCTGTCAAAAAACTTCTATCAGGAGGTCAGTAGCCTTTATGAAAGCTATCGTGCGGTCCAGATCTCCTCATGAACCATACAGTTTTGTCTTCATTGTGATTGGAACAGGACAGACCTTGTCTATGATGGCAGCATACAGTTGACATTCAAGAAGGTATGCATGACACCATGTTTGTGGGAAATATTCTGCCATACTATTTGTACCTAGAACCTCCATCTTCAACAGACTTTTCTTTCAGGATGTGCTTCCTTAGTACACAACCAACCAGGGCAGTGGGAAAAACTGCAATGGTGAGTACGTGTACACTGAATCATTCACTTGTATGTGAATATTGAATCATTCATTGTATGTGCATGTTGAATCATTCACTTGTATGTGAATGTTGAATCATTCACTTGTATGTGTATGTTGAATCATTCACTTCTATGTGTACGTTGAGTCATTCACTTGTATGTCTGTTGAATCATTCACTTGTATATGCACAGTGAATCACTCACTTGTATGTGTACGCTGAATCATTAACTTGTATGTGTACGCTGAATCATTCACTTGTATGTGTATGTTAAATTCTTAACTTTTATGTGTATAATGAATCATTCAATGTATGTGTATCTTGAATCATTCACTTGTATGTGAATGTTGAATCATTCACTTGTGTGTGTATAAATGACTCATTTACTTGAATGTGTATGCTGAATCATGTACTTGTATGTGTATGTTGAATCATTCACTTGTATGTGTATGTTAAATCATTCACTTGAATGTGTACGCTGAATCATTCACTTGTATGTGCACAGTGAATCATTCACTTGTCTGTCTACTCTGAATCATTAACTTGTATGTGTACGCTGAATCATTCACTTTTATGTGTATGTTGAATTCTTAACTTGTATGTGTATAATAAATCATTCAATGTATGTGTATCTTGAATCATTCACTTGTATGTGAATGTTGAATCATTCACTTGTGTGTGTATAAATGACTCATTTACTTGTATGTGTATGCTGAATCATGTACTTGTATGTGTATGTTGAATCATTCAATTGTATGTGTATGTTAAATCATTCACTTGAATGTGTACGCTGAATATTTCACTAGTATGTGCATGATGAATCATTTAATAGTATGCGTTTGTTGAATCATTCACTTGTATGTGTATGTTGAATCACTTGCTTGTATTCTGATATCTGTGTGTCTTTCCTTTTGCTGGGCTTCCCAGCTGCTTTCTGATTTCTCCTGTGTTCTGGGATCATTTTGACAGTTGTCAGCCCTATTTCTGATAACAACTCAAACAAACAGAGAGTTCAAGCAAGCTCCTATCACTACACATGCATGTTACCTGTGGGTACTCCTGAAATCCTCCCATGGCCTCCTGATAGGTATCGACAGAGCCTCCAACAACAAGAAGAGGCCTGGAAGCAACATTCTAGCATCAGTACTATACAACAGGCAAAATAAACTACACAGAAAAACACATGATAGTTTAGGCTACTCCAGAACACAATATTTACTGTATTTTTCTTTGTCTTCTAAAAAGAGGATAGGCCTAAAAACTACATGGTATCTCTTCTTCTTTTTCTTTGTCTAGTCCATGCATGTAGAGTTGTCTTTCCACAGCTCTAGTCTATGTCATGTGGAGTTGTCTTTCCACAGCTCTAGTCCATGCATGCCATGTAGAGTTGTCTTTCCACAGCTCTAGTCCATGCCATGTGGAGTTGTCTTTCCACAGCTCTAGTCTATGTCATGTGGAGTTGACTTTCCACAGCTCTAGTCCATGTCATGTGGAGTTGTCTTTCCACAGCTCTAGTCCATGCCATGTGGAGTTGTCTTTCCACAGCTCTAGTCCATGTCATGTGGAGTTGTCTTTCCACAGCTCTAGTCCATGCATGCCATGTAGAGTTGTCTTTCCACAGCTCTAGCCCATGCCATGTAGAGTTGTCTCTCCACAGCTCTAGTCCATGCCATGTGGAGTTGTCTTTCCACAGCTCTAGTCCATGTCATGTGGAGTTGTCTTTCCACAGCTCTAGTCCATGCATGCCATGTAGAGTTGTCTTTCCACAGCTCTAGCCCATGTCATGTGGAGTTGTCTTTCCACTGCTCTAGTCCATGCCATGTGGAGTTGTCTTTCCACAGCTCTAGTCTATGTGATGTGGAGTTGTCTATCCACTGCTCTAGTCCATGTCATGTAGAGTTGTCTTTCCACAGTTCTAGTCCATGTCATGTGGAGTTGTCTTTCCACAGCTCTAGTCCATGCCATGTGGAGTTGTCTTTCCACAGTTCTAGTCCATGCCATGTGGAGTTGTCTTTCCACAGCTCTAGTCTATGCCATGTGGAGTTGTCTTTCCACAGCTCTAGTCTATGTCATGTGCAGTTGTCTTTCCACAGCTCTAGTCCATGCCATGTGGAGTTGTCTTTCCACAGCCATCTCTTTTGGGGTATTTTCTATCATTTTTAATACAAATATTCCTCCATGCAATGAAGTCAAACTGTCTACAATCTTCTCTTGCAGTCTCCCTATGTGTCTCTTCCCCTCCAACTTTTCATGGTGGCTCTCTGCTTTATAAACAAACTTGAACTTAACAGCATAAGAGTTAAGCTAAGTTGAGTCAAGAGCCAATATAAAAGCACTCACAATACTGCCATACACAACCTGTTCTCAACTTCTGCAGCCAGTAAAAAGTTCCAATTCAAATGATACCAATAGTAGTTTGATTATAGATCCACCTTGCCTTTCTTCAGAGTGTACAGTGTCAGCCTGACTCTCTGGTCACTCCATGCCGATTTTCAAGTACAACCATGATCTCGTGCAATGCTTCTGTTCTTCACAGATAGTACAGGTGGGAGCCAATCAATCGCTTCACAAAAACCTGCGAGTCAAAGGGGATTTTGAAGAATATGTCAAAGACGGTGTCTTATTCCACAACCCAAATTCATGGTGTTTTCTTCATGCAAAAGAACTGGGTGGATGTGGGGTGCACAGCAATGTTGCCGTTGGAGTGACACTTGGCTAATGGATGCAATACCACTGGTCCCTTCCCTCTGCCTAAGGACATCAAACGCATAGCACATACCACAAGCTCTGGCAATAATTATAGTTTAAGTTGATGTCATAGTGTTGTGGATGTAAACAAATGGTCACTGAGGATCACTAAGTTTTCTCTGTCTAATTACGCCTTTCCATGTCATATAAGTGGCAATCAATTTTGGCACTGTATTTGTTGACATCACATGACAATTTTCATTGAATATGTGAAAGACTTACCAACAGTTTTCCATTGCATTGGCCATTCCTGCCAGAGCATGCACCAACCCCGGCCCAGATACAACCAGACAGACAGCAGGCTTTCGTGTTAAGTATCCAATGGCAGATGCTGCGTAGGATGCCTGAGACAAACACATCATGTAGGACTTCACAGCTAGCATTGAATTACAATACATATGTGTGTGCGTGCGTGTGTATGTGCACGTGCATATATGTGTGTGTGTGCAGACACAAGTGTTCACATATGGCTGTTGTTGCTTTTGTAGGCTCCTTTACAATCTTTCTAGACAATAAGTCTAATATAGAGAGGCATGGGGCTCTCAGACTGTGGTGATAGCAACTGTGATTAGCAAGATCTGCTTGTGTTGAGAAATATCTTCCTCAATCAGAGCATGGGATTTCAGGCCCACTGTTGCCATATCATGTTTCTAACATGCTTCTCACAGAGGCTCGGAGCTTAGCCTATCTGCAATCATTTTCTCTCTTATCCCCATTACTTTTATGATTTCCCCCTCCATGCAGCACATGTATGCATTTCAAATATACATCTCTCTCTTGTGTCCCCAAATCTCTCCCATCATCTTTCTACCTCATTCACATTTTTGTTTTTTGACAATAAAAAGGAAAAAAAGAACTAAAATCCCCGGGGCAATCTTTAAACAAAACAAACAGATATAAAATAAAACAACAAGATAATTCAAAGTCCTGAGAAGAAACAATAAATACAAGCATATGTCATATAAACAAAGATTACAGACAATGTATACACCATTTATGGACAAAGGATGAAATATAGTAGGAATTTTTAATAAAAATATTTATAATATCTAGTAAAAAAAGTAACAACAATATATGAAAACATGTTACATGTATGATTGTATTTTATTTCTGAATGATTTCCCCTCATTTATTCATAAGTTTGATATCTTTGTGTGGGTTCAGGGGGGGGGGGGGGGGGGGGGGGAACAAGAACCTACCCCCAGCCCATCCTAACAAGCACATTGTAAAAGTTTGAGAACTGGGGTGTTTTCTTCAAAGTTGGAGAGCATCTGCCTGAGAGGCAAGACACCAGCAGTCTGCATACAAGTAAAACTAAAATCCAGAGGTGAACAAACAGCCAGAACTTTCCGCTAGAGTTAACCACCAGTGAACATGAAGAAGAAGCAGATAAATGTGATAGATTATTGATACAGTCTGTGAGTTCTGTTCACTTGGCACATTGGTCTACAACCTTTTTCAGGTCACGACCCCCTTGAGTATATGGCAAGACCCCCAACAATCTCCTCGAGTATATGGCAAGACCCCCAAATCCCCCTTCAGTATACCGCAAGACCCCAAATCCCCCTTCAGTATATCGCAAGACCCCAAATCCCCCTTCAGTATATCGCAAGACCCCCAAATCCCCCTTCAGTATACCGCAAGACTTCAAATCCCCCTTCAGAAATGGCAAGACCCCCAAATCCCCCTTGAGTATTTGGCAAGACCCTAAATCCCCCTTGAGTATATGGCAAGACTATCATGCCCCCCCCCCCCACACTCTCCCCTTGCATTAATGGCAATGGCAAGCCCCCCCCCACCCCCCCCCCCCCCCCCCCCCCCCCCCCCCCCCCCCCCCCAACCATAACAAAATGTGATTACAAAGAGGGCAACAATAGATTCTGCAACAAAAAGAAACAGAAAGTATAGAGAGATATGTTAGTGTCAGAATGTGTTCTTCATATATAATTAAATGTGCGTGTTATCATATTAATTATATTTTTTTGTTGCAAAAGTACAAACTCCTCATGAAAACAAAAATTTCCTTGTCGCTTTGTTAAACAAAAAGCTCCAACAAATATAATATAATATAAATATAATATAATATAATAATTAAACTAAAACAAAATGTGGTTCAGTTCTACACACTGGCTGACCTTTCATTCAGACTTTCTCAGACTCTTCTACGTCAGAGGGGTGTCACATTGTCTTACCTCCAGTTACATCAGCGTTGATGTTGCATGTTCTAAACTACACAATGACACAGCTTTCAACCACCCCAGAACCTCTAAAACTGGCCCTAACCCAAACCCCCTATCCACAGCCTGAGCCTAGGTCATATGAGAGAGACTTCGACAAAAGCAGTACAACATGACACCCCTCTGACCTAGACCAGACTGAGAAAGTGTGTAGATGGGCCAGGAAACATGAACAGGTCCAAAAATGTTAATATAATGAACTATTACAAGCACAAATGCATATACTTTAACAATTGCTTGACCCCCATCCCCTTTGTGAAACTTCTGTGCCCCACCTCCTCCGTGAAACTTCCGAGCTCCCTCCCCCCCCCCCCCCTTCCCCAATTACCCAAGTCTGCTCCTTGTCAGGTATGTGCATGTGTTTGTTATTTTTCAACAGGACTGAATATACTATATTGTTTAATTTTATACAACAGTTGGCATCTGTGGCTTAGGCCTTGTGAACATGCTTTACAATTCTGAAATACCCACTCCGATTCTGGCTATAGGTCGTTTCAGCAGCAGACTGCTTTGCACTGATGTCAACAATGACATGCAGCACTGAACATTCAGAAAGCAAAGGCAAAATTTCCAGGTAAAAATCACAAACATTCAAAATATGCTGGGTTGGTTATGCAGTGTCTAATAAAGGATATGCAACATTATTTATTATATATATATATTTTTTTTAATTTTTAGTAATAAATACACACTAGAGAATCTTAAGTATAAAAGCTAAAGGTTATAGGATCAACTTCACTGCACTAGATTTGATCCCTTATGGCTCAGTCTCTCCCCACAGAATGGCTAGACACCCTCTGAGAGTGCCCAAAAAGCACAAACACTGTAGTTCTGCCAACAATACCCAGGGGTTGCAGTGACAATTGCTCCCATGAACTGAACGACACCACCGTGAACAGAACCCATGACCCTCAGCAGGTGGCTAACAGCTCAAACACTGCACCACGGAGACCTCCAACATGTTATCTATGTTTCAAGTCTGGAAGGAAATTATTTCTACTCCATTTTTCATCATCCAAACACATTGTCAGAGAAGTGTCTTGGAGAAATTTAAGTAGCGGAAATAAATGTATATATATATACACACACACATATATATGTATATATATATATATATATATATATATATATATATATATATATATATATATATATATATATAGAGAGAGAGAGAGAGAGAGAGAGAGGAGAGAGAGAGAGAGAGAGAGGGAGGGAGAGAGACAGACAGACAGACAGAATAGGGTAAAAGTAAAATATAGGGTTAGACCTATATTTTTACAGACCAATCGGCACAAGATGGGTGATGTGGTCAGCATCACGCCGGCCGCCTCTACTTCCCGAGACTACACCCGGTACCCTCTCAAGGCTGGGTCAACCTGGGAGCCAAGGTCATTTTTGATAAGTTTGGCTCCTCCAGGGAGCGAACCCATGACCTTCCAATTCGCGGCGAGTGTACAGAATAGGGTAAGAAAGATTATTACCCAAGTTATTGTATAATGTGGAACGTGTGAAGTCTGTTACAACTACTGGCCCCTTCAACTAGCAATGACAGTGAACACACATATTCGTGTTTCTAACAGATACTTACTGCCTGTTCATTTCGCATTGCTATGAACTTGATACCCTCTGCCTGAGCAGCTGTTGCAACTTCAACCACCGGGACACCAACAATTCCAAACATGTACTCCACACCCTGAAACATTGAATGAGTCCTTTATCTTCTGTCTGTGCTGGGCCCTGGTAGCTAAAGGCATCTCACAGTCCTGTTTAGGCTTGTCTACTTCACCTTGCAGATTAGAGAGGCCATCTATTTTGTCTACTGAAACCTGAAGTGTGGAAAGTCTGTGTTATTCCGTCTACCATGCCCTGTAATGTAGAACTTTTAGTTCTGTCAACTGTACCCTGGAGTAAAGAAAGATCCTGCATTCCTGCCTACTTTACCAAGCAGTGTAGAAAAAAAACTGTTTTTTGCCTACTTCATCTGAGATTGTATAGAGACCTTTTAGTTCTGCCTTTTTTACCAAGCAGTGTAGAAAAACCTTCTATTTTAAACTACTTCATCTGAAATTGTCCATAAATCTTGCAGTTCTGCCTAGTTTATGCTGGAGTGTAGAAAAGCCTTGTATTATTGCCTAGTTCATCCACAATTGTAGACAGACCTTGAATTGTTGTCTATTTTACTAAGGAGTGTAGTAAAACCTTGCAGTATTTTCTACATTTCCCTGGAGTGTATAGAAAATTAAGCATTCCTTACAGTGTTTTTAATTTATTTAAACATAATTATTCACTCTATGTGAATTGCCAATCATGGACAACAATCCCATATGGTACTGAAATAATATACCATACATACTGATATATACTGCAGCATTGAAAACCAATTTCAAACAGTCATTTGGCCAACAATTCATGAATAAAACATAAAGCATCAGCAATGTAGTGACACAATAGCATTATTTATTAATGCATGTGTTTTAGAAGTAAACAGCCATTTGTAACAAACAGTTATGCAGGGAGATTCTTTCAATACAGACAGCTTTTTGATGTACTTATTTATACAGACTTTGTTTTGGCATATGTTGAATGTTGAATTACCACTGGATATCACAACGCCTGGGATGCTCCCATAAGCGTTACATCCCCATCTTCAACAGCAAGCAAAGAGTTTCAATTCCAATAGCATCAGTAACTGTCTATGAATATCCATCGCCCCTTTTCCTTGAGTATTGAGCGTCGGCAGGATTCCCTGGTAACCCCTCGCAGCACCCATCTTCTCAGACTGTAATTAATTATTTGTGCCTACAGACTGTTCACTAGCTCCCAAAGGGCCCTCACAACATCTAGCTTGTCATACATCAATTCTCCACCAAATGGCGCAGAACTGGCCAGTAAATCTGCCTTCTCATTTCCTAACTCACCAGCATGACCTGAGGAAAACATCCACATGATGCTAACTACCTGGGACTTCTGAAGCGATGCTTGCCACTCTGCACAGAGCATGCCTGTCTCCACCTTTCTCAACATGCTCTGTGAGTCAGTAACAAATACGACATCTGTGCACAGCTGATTCTCAAGCCAGCAGAACAGAGTAGTGACTACCTCCACCCTCAAACTACTTTATAAACCCCCAGGAGCTTTGTTTGCCTCTCAACACAGAGCCATCTGGTAGATAATCACATCACAAATATTTGTTCTGGCAGCTGAAAGGTAGTGTTTAAAATTGATTAAATTATTGTTTCAACAATGAGATCTCATGTGATGGTTATCTGGATGTATCCTGACATGTCCTTGTCCATGTTATCTGGATGTATCCTGACATGTCCTTGCCCATGTTATCAGGACGTATCCTGACATGTCCTTGTCCATGTTATCAGGACGTATCCTGACATGTCCTTGTCCATGTTATCTGGATGTATCCTGACATGGCCTTGTCCGTGTTATCTGGATGTATCCTGACATGTCCTTGTCCATGTTATCTGGATGTATCCTGACATGTCCTTGTCCATGTTATCTGGATGTATCCTGACATGGCCTTGTCCATGTTATCTGGATGTATCCTGACATGGCCTTGTCCATGTTATCTGGATGTATCCTGACATGTCCTTGTCCACGTGTACACTGTAACACATAACTTGTTGACAGTTTTATATTATTTACTGCCCATGATTTGGTAGAAAATTCTAGGTATCATACATCCCAATTACAATAGTCCAAATCCCCAAAAAAGGAGATTTAACAGACTGCAATAATTGGAGGTGAATTACTCTACTCTCAGTACCAAGCAAAATATTTTGTAAAATCATCATAATGCGGCTTGAAAAAGGAGCAGATAAATGCCTACGAGTGGAACAAGCAGGATTCAGAAAGGGCAGAGGAACAACTGAGCACATCTTCACCCTACATAACATTTTAGAACAATGCAATTTATGGCAGAGAAATATATATATTAATTTTGTGGGCTTTGAGAAAGCTTTTGACAGCGTCCATAGAGACAGTCTCTGGAAAATTTTATGACATTATGGAATTCCAGAAAAAGATAGTCAACCTAATTGCTCTCTTATATAAAGACTTTTCCTGCAGTAAAAAAAATTACAATACATCTTTTCCAGTGAAGACAGGTGTAAGACAGGGATGTGTCATGTCATCTCTCCTTTTCAACCTTGTGATTGATTGGATACTAAAAAACACAATAGACAAGACATTGAAAGGCATACAGTGGACTCCATTCACCATGCTTGAGGACCTTGATTTTGCAGATGATATAGCACTCCTATCACATAAACATGAACATATACAAGAGAAAAGTAACAGACTGCACAGCAAAGTGGAAATTGTGGGACTGAGAATAAATACAAAGAAAACTAAGATCATGACAAACAGTCCAAACCAACAACCAGTGACCATAAGTAACCAATTACTTGAAAATGTAGAACATTTCACATATCTTGGCAGTGTGGTGTCCCTACGGGGAGGGACAGAGGAAGACATACAGTCGTGCCTGAACAAAGCTAGAGCTGCTTTTGGAAGGATGAGGCAAATCTGGAAATCCAACAGTTACTGCAGAGGAACAAAACTCCGACTCTACAAAAGCATCATTTTGCCAGTTCTTCTTTATGGAGCGGAATGCTGGAGAATGACCAAAAAAGATGAACACAAGCTGTCCACCTTCCACCACACATGTCTACATAGAATTATCAAAATTTTCTGGCCAGATACAATCTCAAACACTAAACTACTTCAAGTCACAAACCAAGAAACTCTAGACAGTATGATTACCAAGAGAAGATGGAAATGACTTGGCCACATTATGAGAATGAATCCTGATATACCTGCTAAAACAGCTCTCACATGGACACCAGAGGGAAAGAGAAAAAAGGGGCGCCCAAAAACAACATGGAGATGAAAGATGGAAAGTGACCTCAGTTTGGCATTTTTTGACATGGAAAACTGCATTGAAGATTGCACAGGACAGGAAAGTATGGAAAGTCCTCTCTGAAGCCTCATGTGCCACTAGGCATAGCGAGAACTGATGATGATGATACATCCCAATTACAACCCAGAGAACTTAAACAAATTTAACTGGTCTGAAGTTGCACTACAATATACTGCCCACTTTAACTTGGTTCCAGGACCCTTTTTTGGTGAGAGGAAAGGTGGGGGGGGGGGGGGAGGGTACTAACAACAGATCTACCACTTCTCTCATAGATTGTAACATAAATATTTTAAGGATTTGCTGAAACTGGATATTTTGGGCCAAAAAGTGCAGGTGTAAGCCACAGCACAGTGTTCCAACATCCTTGTCAGAGTGATCACAGAACAAAAAGATATACTACCCATATGACTGAATGCTTGTGAACCATGGACACAGAATATACAAGAAACAAAAACGACAAATGAAAGCTACAGAGAAAATTAAAATTATTCAAATACCTTTAGATTATATGGGGAGGTAGGGGTTTGTAGGTGGAAATCGGTTCAATCCCACCCCTTCTCCCCCCCCCCCCCAATTCTCTCTCTCTCTCTCTCTCTCTCTCTGTCTGTCTCTCTCTCTCTCTCTCTCCCTCCTCTTTCTCTGTATCCATCTCGGTTTTCTCTGTGTGTACATATTTTGCCAATGAAAGTAAAGAATCAAGCCGATTAAAAAAAAAATGATAAAAGAAAGCCATTAACATCAAGTCGTTGTATCGTTACTTCAATATTTTCAACAAAAGTTGTGTTACCGCAGAACTTTGAACTGGACAAAGGTCAAAGGTTGCCTGGTTACCTTGATGTTTCAGCAGAGATTTTGCCGAGATTTTTAACTATACTACCGCGCCGTTTAACACAGTAAAGGGGAAAGCAAATGACCACACACAAACATGAGCTGTTGTATTCTTATAATTGAACGACTGACCTGCTGCTTGAAGGCTCTGGCGAGGATGGTGGCCCCATCTACGTGAGAGTCGCGGCTTTCCCTGGTCGTCATCTTCAAGAGAATGATCACAGTTCGAGCAGACGACTTTAGCCGATACTCGTATCCGTACCCGGATAACTGCAATACTACTACAACCTCTGTAGCTGTGATTACTGTCGTATCGATATTGTAGACGAGAGTGCATAGTCTGTTCCAGGAGTCGTGCCCAACTTCTAAAAATCTCTAACTTAGTAACCGTTCTGGTAATTTGTTGAAATTTGGCATACAACCTGGTATTAATCATGTCCTTGTAAGAATTTTGATTTTGTTAATGTAAACAAACATCTAGTGGTCTACAATGTTTACAATAAAGTTAACGCGGTTGGTTGTGTTTTATGCCACAGCTAGAGAACAAGATGCATACACCTGTAGTGCTTACGCCTGAGTCCGAAGTAAATCAGTGCAGTGCCCGAACACAGTAGCACCAGCGAAGATCCTAAAATACTCTAGGTAGATTTTTAACTGCAAATGTTGCCAGGCAGCGCCATCAGACTACTTTTTTTTAATTACCAACTACCAAGGGATTTTTTTACGTGCGTAACAATACACACGGGCATCGGATCTTACTACCCGGAGACCAGGGGAAATTACTAGAAGTCCACGTGAAAAAAACCGCAGCCTTCACCGGGGCTTGAACCCGGGATCTGTAGCACTCGAGGCGGACGCTATGCCTGGAGACCACACAGCCCCTCGAGCTCAAGGAAATTCACCGCTTTAACAAAACAGCAAAATATATAAATTATAAAGTCTTATGGACATGGCAAATCTAAAGCGACATATTAACATTCATGTTAGTCCGTGCAGGGGTTTTCGGGATATTTGTTCAAGTGTGCGGGCATAAGTTTTGAAACACACTATAGAAAACTTCTTTACGACAGCAGCAGAGAAAACCATCAGCAGCAGCCATTGTGCCGTTATATGTCACATTGTTTGGAAACAAAGGGCCTCGTGTATAACGTCCCAACATCCAATACAAGAGCGGAGGCGGTAATGCTACTTTACGATGGCTTTAGGATGGCACAGCCCGACATGTTGTAATTGTAATGGACTCACAGAGCGTGCTTTGGAAAATAGAAACTGGCGTTTAGAGTGGCTAGCATCGTTTGATAAGATTCAGATCAGGAGCATATCGTGGATGTTCTGTCTACAATATTCGGGTGTTCGGGGTTGTGAACAGCCTGATACAGTAGCAGAGAGCTACTTTATGTTAAAGCTGAAAGCTCTCGGATCATATGTGCAGTGCAGTAGAAAGAGATTAAATACAGAGTTTAGTCAAGAATTGACATAACACCACAGTTATTTGTATTTACCCCCAATGGCTCTAGGGCACAACAAGAGGATGATAATGATATTTCTCATCAAAGTTTTAGGGTATCTCTTGGAAGTCCTTGTTTCCTTAATCCATTTGTTTCCCATTGCAGTGCCTTTCTTTGAGATTCTCTGTCCACATCTCGTCGTGTCCAATATCGCCATCTTCTGTATCTTTATAAATGTCAATGCCAGCCATTGGCCAGATATTTCTCTCATCTCTCTACCTGCCTTGAATACATCCCGTTTTGTTTGTTGACACCTTTCTATCTTTCCGGGCGACGGTTTTATATTGTGCAATGAGGAGACATGGGACTCACTGCCTATGGCGACGACGAGTGCGACTAGCAAGACCCGCCCGCATCAGTAAAAGTCTTCCACAATCATAGCATGGGATTTCAGGACCGTTGTTGCTATGATTGTATTTAATATGCTTCTTCCCACACGCTCCTCTCATCCTTTCTGTAATCATTTCTTCCTGCACGCTCCTCTCATCCTTTCTGCAATCATTTCTCCCTGCATTCTCATTCCTTCCCTAATTTCCCACCCTCCCCACATCACAGTCCATGGCATTTTATTCCAACAAATTTATCTCAATATCTGTATCACTCATGCACCGGTTGCATAATCTTTATGCCGTGTAGAGGTCGGTTTCTAAAACGTCTGCCCATCTGTCATTCCCCATATAGTATGTCCTTAGTGACTCTGCCATTCTGCATTCCCAGGGTGTGATCAAGTCACCTGAGGAAACTTCTTAGACTGAGCATTGAAAAAAACTGTTGTAATACTATTTAATGTTTCTTAATTTCCTCAGACATTTTGTTTTCTAATGTATTTTAAATTGTCAGATGACAGAAAAGTAAAAACTATACACAAGGGAGATGAATGGTCGTAGATCATGAGGTAGACCAAGAAAACCATGGAGAGATAATGTCCAGACAGACCTGCAAACACTTGGTGTCACCAACTGAAAAGAAGGCCAACCAGAGAGATGAATGGAGGCGGGTGATATCTGCAGCAATGAATCTCAAGGGCTCGGAATGCTGTAGAAGAAGAAGAAGAAAGAAGAATTGAAATGTGTTTAATGTCTTTGTAGGTTCTTCAATTGTCACAGTCAAATGTCAACATTAAAATACATCTGACAATAGGTTTTACTTGTTTGTCTTGTTCTTTACTGGTTAACTTTCGCTGACAGACAAATAAATGCATAAATAAACGAAAGTAAACCAATAAACAACAAGACAAACTATGGATTTACGCATCAGGTAAACAAGCTACCGATAATACCCTCACAAACTGTAGGGGCCTTAACAAATTCCTATTAGCTATTTTTTTTTTAATATTTTGTTTTTAAAATAATTTAACAAATGCAGTTTAAATTAACATAATTAAATTACAATTTTCTTTCAATGGAGCCTTTCAGAGGAACATCCAAATATTCAAAAGGCGAGGATAGTTTAGTTTTCTGAGAGCAGATAGCGTGATTTAAAATGGCAGGGCCTCAGACCTTTGTACAACTTAGGGCCTCGTCAAGTTTAAACCCGGTCCTGCTGATCACCAGGTTATACTCTACCACCTTCTAGGGTTTATTCTCATTATGGTGTGCCATGCAGATACACGCGGATGATCATGGCTGGCTACCGGGTAAGTGTTCTTATCTAGCTTGTTGCATGTGGCCATGACATTCCTGCATTTATCTGATTATGTGAAGGCTGGTTGTTATTAAACGTTTTTGTTTAAAGAGACAGCTAAACGCATGAGAGATAATGTCAAGGTATAGAAACATGATATGGGCAACCGCGGCTGTGGACGTAGAGTGTCTGAAATCCATTACAGTCAAATGTGCTGCTGCTTCTGCTATGCCACTTCTTGTTCTTGTTCTTCTCCTTCTTCTTGTTCTTGTTCTTCTTCTTCTCTTTATTCTCTCCTTTCTCTTTTCTCTTCTTCTTCTGTTCTTTTCTTCTTCTTTCTGTTTCTTCTTCTTCTTCTGTCTTCTTCTTTTCTTCTTCTTCCATTCTTCTTCTTTCTTCTTTTTCTTTTTCTTCTTCTTCTTTCTTCTTCCTCTTCTTTTCTTCATTCCCCTCTCTTTTTCTCTGCTTTCGTCTTTTCCTTCTTCTTTTTCTACTCTTCTTCTTTCTAGTTCTTCTTTTCTTTCTTTCTCTTCTTCTTCTCTTCGTCAGTACTTTTCTTCATTCTTCTTTCTTCCTCTTCTTCTCTTTCTTCTTCTT